ATATATATATATATATATATATATATATATATAGACGGTCAATTACTACGAATCACAACGATATAATTATCAAAGGCTATATGACTATAATCATATTAGTGAATGGACTTAGATGGTTGCTGTAGGCCAATACGTATGACCTTAATATAAACGACTATTATATAAATGGTCGATATTACTATGAATCACAATGGTATAATTAGCATAGGTAATCATATTACTGAATGGACTTATATGGTTGCTATAGGTCGATACGTATGACCTTAATGAATGAAATTATATATATAGACTATTATACAAGCAGTCGATATTACTATGAATCACAACGATGTAATTATCATAGGTCATATGACTACAACTATATTAGTGAATGGATTTATATGGTTGCTATATGCCGATACGTATGACCTTAATATAAACGACTATTATATAAACGGTCGATATTACTATGGATTTGTAACGACCCGACCGGTCGTTTTGAGCTCTAGCGTGTCGTTCAGTAGTTGGAAGTCATGAACAGCTTCATTTCAGGTATATTGACTTGTACGTATGGTCAGAGTTGAATTTCGGAAAATTCGGAGTCAAATTGAAAAGAAACTTTTCATTGCGGCAACCTTAAGTTGAAGAAAATGGCTAAGATTGGAATTTTGAGTAAACGACCTCGGAATTGGGATCTGAAAGTTCCAGCATGTTCGTATGATGATTTCGGACTTGGGCGTATGTCCGGATTTGGTTTTGGATAACCCGTGAGCATTTCGGCGTATATTGTGGAAGTTAGTATTTTAGAAGAATTTCATAAATTTGGGTTGGAAGGCATTTCAGAGTTATAGATGTCCGTTTGGGATTCTGAGTCTGGAAATAGCTCCGTATGGTGATTCTGGAGTTGAGAGCACGATCGGAAGTTAATTTAGAAGTCCGGAGGTCATTTTGAAGTCATTTGGCTAAATATAGAAATTTGAAGGTTTTTAAGAAAATTCGACCGGAAGTGGAAATTTTGATATCAGGGTCGGAATACGATTCCAAAAGTTGGTGCAAGTCCGTAATGTCGAATGTGACTTGTGTGCAAAATTTGAAGTCATTCGGACTAGTTTTGGTAAGGTTTGAGACACTTAGTCTCTTTTTCAGGAAGCTTAAGTTGGAAAAGTCAACCGGATATTGACTTATTTATTAAAGGGCTCGAAATACGAATTTTATGGCTCGGATAGCTTCGTTAGGTGATTTGGGACTTAGGAGTGTGTCTGGAATATTTTTGTGATGACCGGTGTAGAATTAAGCTTGAATTGGCAAAGTTAGTATTTTGGCGAATTCCGGTTGATAGGTGAGATTTTGATCCGAGGGTCGGAATGGAATTCCGAGAGTTGCTGTAGCTTCGTTATGTCATTTTGGACTTGTCTGCAAAATTTGAGGTCATTCGGACGTGGTTTGGTTGGGTTTTTGATCAAAAATGGAATTTGGAAGTTCTTGAGATTCATAGGCTTGAATCCGATGATGATTTGATGTTTTGATGTTATTTTGGGTGTTCCGAAGGTTGGGACAAGTTTGAATGATATTATGGGACATGTTGATATAATTGGTTAAGGTCCCGAGGGCCTCGGGTGGATTTCGAAAGGTTAACGGAATGGAATTCGGACCCAAAAAGAAAAGAAAAAGCTGCTGCAATTTCTGCTGCTAAGCTGTCTTTGGACAGCAAATGTGCAGTCGTGGAGCGTACTTCGGAGACCTATATCTTTTTATCTACAAGGAATTTTGAGATAATTCAAAAACAAAAGTTGTAGCCCTTTCTGTCTAGTTTCCAGAAAGCAAAGGAAATCGTAATTTGGATATCTTTAGAGAAAGTTATGATCGATTGAAGATGACCNTATATGTACGGACTCGTGAGAGGACGAAGAACATCTTGGTATAAAAATTTCTGAGTTTTGAGATATGGGCCCAGTACTCGGGTTTTGTCAAATTCGTGAATTTTGATATTTTTTGATTGCTTTCGATTGGGTATTGTCCCTTTAACATAATGCGACATATTCATTGTGATTTTGGGCAGATTTGATGCACGTGGAGGCCAATTCGAGGGGCAAAGGCGTCGCGAGCTAAAGAAGTAGCCGGTTTGAGGTGAGTAATTGATGTAAATGATGTCCTGAGGGTTTGAAACCCCGGAATTTCACATCGTAACGCTATATTGAGGTGACTTGCATGACAAATAACGGGCATGGGGTAGAGCACCATTGGGGATTGTCACTTAGTCCATCCCGAGAGATGTTTTTACCGTGTTTTCTACTTGGAATTAATTGTTACATGTGGGCTTCTTGCCAATTATTTGAATCCTTCAGGGATTGACATCACTGTTTTCGCATACATGCATATCATTTGATCTCAGTCTAAGGTTTTAAATACTGTTTTGCAAACTCAACCATCTTTCTAAGATTTGAGAACTTAAATGATATTTCGGGCTGAGAACTACTATTTTACAAATGCCCAAGGGGCTTATTATGATTTCTGGACTGAGCATGGATCGGGTTGCACGCCGCAGTAGTGATTTGAAATAGTGGTAACAATGACACTGTATGATGTGACTTGAAATAGTGGTAACAATGCATTGTGTGATATAAATTGGTCAGGTAACAATGACTGACAAGGACTTGATTAATGCCACGAGATGGCTTGTTATTGCGCTTGGGCTGTAGGAGCCCCTCCGGAGTTTGTACACACCCCCAGTGAGCGTCGTCGACGATAAATAAATATGGATGGCTCGGGCTGCACGCCGCAGTGGGTACCAGAGGGTACCGTCATATGCATTGCATTGCACTCATGCATTTATTCCCCATCTGCATTATCCGCCATAACAATTATGTGCTCTTATTTCATTGACTGGTTGCTTCATACTGTTCTGATCCTGAGGGGCTGATACTGTTCTGAGATACTAAGCCCGAGGGGCTGATACTTTTCTGAGATACTGAGCCCGAGGGGCTGATACTGTTCTGAGATACTGAGCCTGAGGGGCAGATTTCCACATATTATTTTGATACTAAGCTCGAGGGGCAGATTTCTACTTATTATTTTGATATTGAGCCCGAGGGGCAGATTTCTACTCGTTGTTTTGATATTGAGCCCGAGAGGTAGATTTCTACTCGTGATTTTACTGCCAAATTACCTGTGTTTACTGGTTTTAAAGAAATTTCACATGATGTTTCACTGAATTGTTATTTTAAATGATTTCACTGCTTCTGTATAGAGTGTTGTATGCCTTAACGTATTTTCTTACCATCAGTTATTATTTATATTTATTACTCACTGGGTCAGAGTACTCACATTACTCCCTGCACCATGTGTGCAGGTACAAATATTCCTGATGCATAGAGCGAGTTTTCTGCTGTTCAGTTTTCATTGGAGTTATCGAGGTAGCTGCATGGCGTTCGCAGACCCGTTTTCTCCCTTATCTTCTGTATTTATGATATATTCAGATGTCGTTCCTAATTCCATACCTTGTAGAATTTTAGTAAACTCTGTAGTACCTCATGACTTGTGACACCCCCGGTTAGGGCTGAGTTGGGTTGGATTTCCGTATTTTATCTATACCTTCCGCTATTGGATATTATTAAACCATGTTTATACTATAATTGAGTTAATTAACGATCTTAAAAGGATGAATTGGGTTGAATGGCTGGCCTTGTCTTCATGAGAGGCGCCATCACGACCAGGTTCGGGAATTGGGTCGTGACAGGATCACAACGATATAATTAGCATAGGTTATAAACGGCTATTGTTATAAGGAATTATTAGGTAAAATAGAAAAGGAAAAATAAAAAAGGCGGAAGGTAAAATAAAATTCAGGGAAAAGTTAGTCTGAAGAAGGAAATAAATAAAGAAGATAAAAATGTAATTACTGATTTAACTTTTTTTTTTAAAAAAAACTGATTGGGTTGAAAGGAAGAAAGTAAAATTGACCCTGTTAAAGGTGAGATTCGATCTACCGACGCCTCACTTAATAAAAGCAACAACTACCCCTATTTAACCAATGCACCGATTAGAACTTTTGTGATTTTTGTGCTTTTATTTATATACATTGGAATCCTAAATTAGGGCTGTATAACTATACATATCTTCCTTGGGAAGTTAATCGATACGCCCAAATTTCGTTTTTGCAGTTGATCCGCCCCTGGTCCCTTGACAGCATCTTCAAAATTTCAATAGCTTTCTTTATTCTTCCTCTTCTTATTTTTCCATAATCTTAATCTTACCTTTCGTTTATCCTAATCTTCATCATTTTCCCTATAATCCTAATCCTAATATGATGCCTCCAGTTGAAAAAAAAATGCAGTGGAACTTTACCTTTCGATATACCTTCCTGATGATGTTCTTGATGATATTCTTATACGTATGCCTTTACCAGATGCTGTTAGAACAAGCATCTTATCAAGAAAATGGAGATATAAATGGTGTAGAATTCCACAACTTACTCTTGATCGAACACTTTGGAAAATACACCAAATAAGTTACATTGAAAATATTATCCGCCACATTTTGACCCGTTATGGAGGACCAGTTAAACAGTTTACACTCTCAATTTCGTATTTGGAATACTTTGCTTATATTAGACAGTTGATAGGGTTCCTCTCTGAAAAGGATATTGAACATCTTATTCTTAAATTTTCGATCAGGGGAAACCATACAAATTGCCTGCTTCATTTTTCAAATGCGTGCATTTGAGGCATCTATCTCTTGAAGATTGTTTAATATCTCATCCACCAGCCTTCAGAGGTTTTGAAAGGTTAATTAGCCTGAAGCTATACAATGTTACAATCTTGTCCACATTGCTTGGAAGCTTAATCTCTCATTGCCCATTGCTCGAGCAATTGGTGCTTCATCTCCCAGATAATTACCGCGGTGTCATTGAAATTAATGCCCCCAAATTGAAGTCCCTTGACTTCACAAGCAGAGTATGGTTTATCAGTTTATAAACTATTCCTCTTCTAGCACAATTATCGCTTGCTCTTAGGGGAGGCTATATCTTGGAATCAAAACCTCACTATACTAGGTTTTTTGAGTCTTTTTGTGCTCTGGAACATCTCCATTTGGGTAACCATAGTGTCAAGGTAAATGTGCTTCATAACTTCACTGTAGTTCATTTTCATAGATGTAATATATTGTGGGCTATGAGTCATCCTTTTAATTTGGGATGTTTTTTTGTAGTTATTGGTTGCAGGTGCAGGAGAAGTACCAACTAGTCTTCCCTTTCGTATTAATTGTGTGAAACATCTTTACCTCTTTGATCTTTATCTGAGTGAATTATATTTTTTTGCATGTGCTTTGTGTTTGATGAGAAGCTTCCCATATTTACAATATCTGGAAATCAAGGTTCTTACTTAATCATTTGGTTATCTTCTTAAGTTCTCATTACTTAGTGGCTTCTTTATACCTCCGATCCTCATTTAAATTTGGTATTTTTTTTAATTATTTCGTAGGTGGATAATAGTGGGGTACCTATAGCACTGGATAATCTTGATTTGGAAGGAAGTTTTGGAGATACAACTTTCAATAACCTTAGTATAATTGTGATTAGGAGCATTCAAGGGATAAATCCTCACATGCAATTGTTGAAGCTTCTTTTGGCAAAGTCTCCGGCTCTTATGAGAATCATAATCGAGGCATTGACCTATAAAGATTATGAAATTCTCAAATCACTAATTGAGCATTCAGAATTTAGGTGTGCATCACCCGACGTAAAAGTTGTATTAAACTACTAGTATATGAAGTATTTTTTTGACAATTCTGGTACATGCCATGTTTTGACAATTCTGTAACATGTCGTGTTTTGACAATCCTGTTATGTCGTATTTTGACAATTCTGTTACATGCCGTATTTTAATTTTCTTATGTTTCGTGATGTGAATCATTCATCATTTGCTATGTGTTTGTTACTAGACAGCTTAATGCATTCGATAAAATTAGCTTAAACAACACATGCTATTCGGATTGAGAGAAATCTGAGAATTTTTGAGAAAAAGACACGTGCTTGGAATACTATTGCTCGTGCGATAGCATACATATGTAATATTAGAGCTACTGCTAGTACTCAAAGTTTAGTTCATAGCTATATTTTTGTTTGAGTGTATAGAGAAACATAGGACATAACAGATAGAGCTTGTAATGAGATAGCTAGCTGTGTAAGCGATGCTATATTTTTGTACAGTTTTACCGGTGATTGATATAAAAAGTGATTAATTACCAAAAAAAATTATCTTAATACTAGACATTGGACTTATATAGTTGCCATTGGCCGATACGTATGAACTTAATGAATGAAATTAATATAAACGGCTATTATATATCTATGAATCGCAACGATGTAATTATCGTAGGTCATATGACTACAACATTAATCGTTGGACTTATATGGTTGCCATTGGCCGATACGTATGAACTTAATGAATGAAATTCATATAAACGTCTATTATATAACTGTGAATCACAACGATGTAATTATCGTAGGTCATATGACTACAACCTTAGTCGTTGGACTTATAGGTTGCCCGATACGTATGAACTTAATGAATGAAATTAATATAAACGGCTATTATATAACTATGAATCACAATGATGTAATTATCGTATGTCATATGACTACAACCTTAGTGTTACGATCCAAAATATACTAAGGGTCGTGATGGCGCCGGACACTATTGTCAGACAAGCCAACAACAAATTAGTAACTTCTCGTTTTAAATATTTCTGAAATCACTTATTTTATTCGTTTAAACAATATATAATAAATTCCACTCAATAAATAATGAAATATTTAACAATTTTAAATTTCTGAATAAACCTATAGACATCCCAGAACCCGGTGTCACAAGTGCATGAGCATTTACTAGGGAATGAAATAAAATACAGTAACTATCCGGTATACAAAGTGGACAGAAATGAAAATACAGTACAATACTCTGAAGGAGACTCTGCTGGCTGCGGGTCGTCTTCATAAGTGCAGCTCACCTAAGTCTCTGTATCAACCATGCCGCTATGCCACTAAGCCACTAGTCACACATAAACCTGTGCAACAAAAATGCACAGCAAGTGTAGTATGAGTACGAAAACAATGTGTACTCAGTAAGTATCTCGTCTAATCTCGAAGAAGTAGAGATGAGAGGTCGACTTCGACACTTACTAGTGGTCTAATAATATTATATCAAGAATATATTAAATCGTGGATTTTTATAAACATGATTGTAATTCAATAGAATGAAGCAAGTAAACAATTCATTCTTTTATAGGAAATTTTCTAATTCCTTTTCGTTATTTATACATTTATTCTCAAGCCGGGAAGGAACAACATCACTTCAATAAATTTCAAGGCAAGCAATACAAGCATGCGCAAATCATGCCGAGGACGTACGACCCGATCCAATAATATTTAAATTGTGCACTGCCAGAGGGTCGAATGGCGCAGACCATAGATGCATCTATTTAATCTACCAAGGCGTTCGGCCCATTCCACAATAGATAAACACATTCAAACAATCAAATCAATAATTCATCAAGGAGCAAATATTCAGGAAAAGGCAAATTTCTCTTTTAACAGTCAAGAAATGATATCTAGCCTTTTTTAGAAATTCATTCACATGTTCGATATGTTTTAAGTATTTTAAGTTTGTCAACAAGATTGCAAGTATTACAAGAAAGCATGCCTTTGGGCCCTAAACTACCCGGACTAAAGCATAATAATAGCTACGCACGGACTCTCATCACCTTGTGCGTACGTAGCCCCCGCAAATAGGAGCACATAACTAATTAACTCACCTATGGGGACAATTCCCTCTTACAAGGTTAGAAAGGAAACTCACCTCGCTCCGAAATTTTCATAACCGGCTTCCAAGCCCTTCCAACGACTCCAATTGATGCACAACGCCCCAAAACTATTCAAACAATGGGTAAACCAATAAAAATTCACTCTAATACTTGTAACAATTCAAATTATATAAGTTCCCAACTCTACTCGAAAAGTTGACCAAAATGCCCTCGGGCCCACGTGCCTGGATTCCGAAATTTCTCGAAGATAAATTCTACCCATAGCTTTACTAACTCAAATATACAATTTGCTCTAATTTTCATGCTCAAATTCAAGGTAAAAGTCCAAAATTCCAAATCCTAAGTCTTCCCCAAAAATTCCAAATTTATACTAATTTTCCATGTCTAAATCCATGTAAGATCACATATTTAACTCAAAAATAGGAAGAAATGACTTACCTAGTGTTGCTTGGTGAAAATCTCTCCTTGACCTCTCCAAAATCGTCCAAGCCAAATGAAAGAAATGGGCCAAAACTCGTGTTTAAAACAATCTGCCCAGGCTTCATCGAGTTGTACCTTGCGTTGTGCAGGTTGTACATCCTGTTACAATTTTCCCCTGCTGTATACCTTCTGTTAAAATGCTCATAACTCCTTGTAGATATATCCAAATGACAAACGGTTTGAATATTTAGAAACTAGACTCGAAGATCTTTCATTTGATGGGTTGCACACCATATAACACTTTATATATTCCGAGATATGAGCTTCTAAAATCGGCTCCATGCATTAGAAAATTCTGTCGAAACTGCTCCACCAGCCATCTTCAATCGATCATAACTTTCTGATAAGTCCAAATCATGAATGGTTTAACTTTATGGAAACTAGAATGCAAGGGCAACAACTTTTATGTTTTGCAATTTTTCAGATTAATTATAGATTTCGAGATATAAGCTTCCAAATTCAGCTCCGCGATTGCACTAGTTGCTATCAAAACAGCTTTCTGCAGAAAATTTCAGCAACTCTTTGGTCCGAAATTCTTTCCGTTAACCTTCCAAAATCCACCCGAGGCCCTCGGGACCTTAACCAATTATACCAACATGTCCCAAAACATGATATGAACACATCAAACAACGTTGAAATCATGAATCACACTCCAATCCAAACTTTATGAACTTTGAAATTTCAAACTTCTACATTCGATGCTGAAACCCGTCAAATCACGTCCTATTGACCTTAAACTTTGCACACAAGTCATATTCGACATTACGGACCTGCTCCAACTTTCGGAATTGGAATCCGACCCCGATATCAAAAAGTCAAACTCTCGGTTAAACTTCTCAAAAACCATCAAATTTCTATCTTTAGCCAAATGACTTCAAAATGACCTACGGACCTCCGAATTCACTTCCGATCATGCTCCTAACTCCAGAATCACCATACGGGGCTACTCCCAGACTTGGAATCCCAAACGGACATCGATAACATTGAAATTTACTTCAACCCAAACTTATGAAATTTCTTCCAAAATGCTAACTTCCACAATAGGCACCAAAACGCTCCCAGGTCATCCAAAACCTGATCCGGGCATACGCCCAAGTCCAAAATCATCATACGAACCTACTGAAACCTTCAGATCTCGATTCTGAGGTCGTTTAATCTTAAATCCGATCTTAGTCAATTCTTTCAACTTAAAGCTTCCGAAATGAGAATTCTCTTTCCAAATCAACTCCGAATTCCCCGAAATTCAATTCCGACCACACGTACAAGTCATAATACCTGAAGTGAAGCTGCTCATGGCCCCAAACTACTGAACGACGCGCTAGAGCTCAAAACGACCGGTCGGGCCATTACACTTAGTCGGTGGACTTTTATGGTTGCCATTGGCCGATATGTATGAGCTTAATGAATGAAATTAATATAAACGGCTATTATATAACTGTGAATCGCAACGATGTAATTATCGTAGGTCATATGACAACAACCTTAGTCGGTGGACATTTATAGTTTCCATTGGTCGATACGTATGAACTTAATGAATGAAATTAATATAAACAACTATTATATAACTGTGAATCGTAACGATGTTATTATCGTAGGTCATATGACTACAACCTTAGTTGGTGGACTTTTATGGTTGCTATTGGTCGATACATATGGGCTTAATGAATGAAATTAATATAAACGGCTATTATATAACCGTGAATCGCAACGATGTAATTATCGTAGGTCATATGACTACAACCTTAGTCAGTGGACGTTTATGGTTGCCATTGGCCGATACGTATGAACTTAATGAATGAAATTAATATAAACGGCTATTATATAACTGTGAATCGCAACGATGTAATTATCGTAAGTCATATGACTACAACCTTAGTCGGTGTGCTTTTATGATTGCCATTGGCCTATATGTATGAGCTTAATGAATGAAATTAATATAAACGACTATTATATAAACGTGAATCGCAACGATATAATTATCGTAGGTCATATGACTACAACTTAGTCGATGGACATTTATGGTTGCCATTGGCCGATACGTATGAACTTAATGAATGAAATTAATATAAATGTGTATTATATAACTATGAATCGCAATGATGTAATTATCATAGGTCATATAACTACAACCTTAGTCGATGGACTTTTATGGTTGCCATTGGCTGATACGTATGAGCTTAATGAATGAAATTAATATAAACGACTATTATATAACTGTGAATCGCAACGATGTAATTATCGTAGGTCATATAACTACAAACTATTCGTAAAAATAATTTTCGAGTATTCTTCAATGTATTTTTGTATATCTTAAAAATATTGATAAAAATATTTTTGTATCTTGTTTTTTTAGCTTTCTGTTAAAAAAATATGCATTATTCTTTGAATATTCATAAAAATATTTTACAAACATTATTCTTCAATATGTTTTATTTTCCATGTTTAATTCGTAAAAAACTAGAGTGTTTCTTACCTCTTTTCTTGTTTTTTTATATTAATATTTGGTCGTGTATATATATATATACAAATTCACACACACAACTCTCATTACAAAAAACTAAACGACCCTCCCTCTTACCCAAACCCTAGAAACCAACCATGAACCCCTCTCCCAGCGCTCCTAAATGATCCCCATCCGCCTCCTATTCTAATGATAATGGTGGAGAGTGAAATCCAACATTTGAAGTGCTTCTGAAAGATTCATACATCAAACAAGACTATATGGTAAATGAGATCCTTTTCTTTTTTTTGGAAAATTTGGCTAATCAACAATCTGCCTTTTTTTTTACATGGGTAAGTTTACATTTCATTCAGTTAGTATTGTAAATACTGTTATAAAACAAAGTTGTTTCTTTGTCCTTGTGTTATTTTGCCAGCATATTCCAAAATGCTTCTACGAGCACATTCCTGAAGCACATACCACCGCAGTTCTTCAATATGGTGGCAAAGAGTGGTTTATGGGATTGCAAGTTGGTGAGCATAGATGGCTCAAAGACAGCTGAAAAAGTTTTGTGATGAAGAATGATATCAAGCGGGGTTGTTTGGTTAAATTTGAGTTAGTTGAAATTGCACAAATCCTTGTTGTCTTAAAAGTTGAAGCGAAAAGACAAGGAACTCACGAAGATCCTGTCGAGATTAATTAGTTTTTTTTAAGAACTCATGAAGTGTTTGAATTGTTTCCCCTATTGTGGCACTTTGTTATTTTTTCCCTTTGTTAGATGCACGTTTTAATTTCATCCAGTTATGCAATGTGTTTTTTTTATTTTCTGTTGATGTATTAATGTTATGAAATTCAATTTTCATATTGGTCTTATTTACTATAATTTTTTTTTTTAAATTATCATTCAAAAAAACTAAAATGGAAGAGATGGGTTGGTATGTTATTTGTATTCAAAGAGGAACGGTTTTGAACTCTTGGGAAGTTAATTTAGTGTAAGAGTAAATACTACATAGGAAAGTTAAAACATTAATTAGCACTATTTAATACACCCTTTTTTATTAGGAGGGTGTTTGAAATATTTTTTTGGACTGGGTTGGCCCCATATATATGGTCACATACTCTAACCTAAAGACCTAAAATGCACTCACATACTCAAATCCTAAACTATGGATGCCTCTCCTACCAAACAAGCCTTATCTTGCTCTTCTACTAGCACTATTGCCCTATCTTACTCTTCTACTAGCAGTGATAATGAAGAAGAGAATCCTCTGTCATTTGAAGTGATTTTGACTGAATCAGACATCGACTACAACGATCTGGTAAATTATTATGTCTTTTTAAACTTTATTTCTTTGATTCAATTTCATATTTTCTAGGATGAAGGGAGAAGGAACTTCATACGGTTGAGATTGAATAGTTTCTAGGATGTATTTGTGTTGATTTATCCTTTTATTATTTTCTATTTTCATGTATGTTGCTTTAGTTATGGTTGTTGTGCTTTATTTTGTTGATATTATGTTTAAAAATTTCAATCTTCATATTGATCTTGTTTACTATAATATTTTTCGTTTTTAATTATCATTAAAAAAACGAAATTGAATCATATTGGTCTTCTTTGTTTTTTTCATTTCTTCCGGATGAAATTATTTTCAAAGAATATTTTTAATTTTTTTAAAATCAATTCTTCTCTCGGATTCTTTTGGAATGGAGAAGACAAAATAACACATTTATTTCATCTAACACCATTTATTTCAACTAACACCATTTATTTCTACCAACACCATTAATTTACCAAACGGAATTTGCCAAAATTGAACCAAAAAAAGCCGCTCAAATTTGAAATATTTTTTGGACTGGGTTGACCCCCCATATATAGTCACATACTCAAACCCTAAACTATGAAAAACACACTCACCTACAAACCCTAAATTATGGATGCCTCTCCCTCTACTAAACGCGTCCTATCTTACTCTTCTACTAGCAGTGATAATGAAGAAGAGAGCCCTCCAACATTTGAAGTGGTTATGACTAATTCATATATCAACTACGACGATCTGGTAAATTATTATGTTTTTTAAACTTTATTTCTTTGGATATTACAATAACTTCTTGAGTTAATCCTAACTGATTTTTTTTTACATAAAACACTTTTGTTTTTATACCTTAACTCCAGAAAATATATATGTGTCAGTATTGTATATGTTGATTCAGTTTCATATTTTCCGAAACTTAATAGTAATATTTTTTTAAAGTATATTCCAAGAAAAATCTACAAGCATCTCCCTCCAACAGTAGACACCGCGCTTCTTCACTATCATGACGAAGAGTGGTATGTAAATATGAGCGTTGGTGATAGAAGAAGGTTCAAGGCAGGCTCGAAACTTTTTGTTTTGGACAATTATGTCAAGCGAGGTTTCATCGTCAAATTTACGTTGGTTGATGTTGCACCACTATATGTTGACTTCAATGTTGAATTGAATGGAGAAGGAACTTCTGATAATAATTCGGTTGAAAATGATTAGGATTTGTATTGTGTTTTTCTATCCCTTTACTATATTTTATTTTCATGTATGTTGATGTGTTAATGTTATGAAATTACAATCATCATATTGGTTTTCTTTACCATAGTAATTCTTTTTTAATAGAATGTTTAGTAAATACTTTTGTTTTTTGTTAATTCTGCTTTATGGTGGCAGTGTCCTTTATATCTACCCTTTCAATATACAAAAATATTGAAAGGGGAATAAAGAGAAAAAATACATAAAATAATAATAATATAAAATAATAGTAAATGCTTCATAGGGAAGTTAAATAGGTTAATGTATTGTAAGATCTAGTAAATGCTACATAGGGAAGTTAAATGAGTAGATTTTGTATTTAAAGAGGAACGGTTACACTAATTTTACAATAAACTCATGGAGTATTTGGTTGAAGTTAGGGTTAGAAATTGGTTGCAGTTGAATGTTGAAATTTTCTGGGGGGGGAAACGTGCAATGTAAGGGTTGAAGGTAGGGATAGATAACTGTTGAAGGTAGGGTTTTAAGTTGAATGTTGAAAGTAGGGTTGAAGGGTAGGGTTTTAGTAACTGAATGTGAGTATTTTAGTTCTTAGTTTGAACTGATTATAATGTTCTGAAGTCTTTCACAATCTGTACTAGTTGCAACTAATCACATTTTGTTAGTCTAGTCCTTCAAACTAAAATGAAGTAACAATAAAATGATTTTTTTTACAATGATAATTATAATACCACACGTTTAAATTATTACAAAACTAAGTCAAAAATTTCAAAAAAATTTATCTCAAATCAAATTAAATATGATTCAAACTTAAATCATCTCAAACTAAACGGACAAGTCTTCTATTTCCCAGTTTGCTTCATCGTTTAGATCAGGCAAGCTACTCTGTGATAGTATTATTGCATCATCTTGCTTTATAAAGTAAATAACACTAATAAGCAATGTATTTTTCGAAAAAAATATAATAATAATTTATTATACTTTACCTCAATTCCTTCGCTATCCCGGTATTTCCACCACCTCTACCACGGCCTCTACCACCACTTCTACCACGACCTATGCCACCACTTCTACCACCACCTTTGCCAACATCTCTACCACCACCTCTACCCCTCCTATTACCTCTAACTCCACTTCCACCACCCGTTTGTGAACTTCTAAAGTATGAATCAATTCGCCCTCTATATCTATTCAACCTTGGACGTCCACCAGAAGCTACATATCTAGGATCTCTTATATTTTTTCCTTCACCCTCGCCCTTACCCTCATCTTCACTCCGACCCTCACCCTCACCCTCACCCACACCATCATGTGTATCTTCCAATTCCCAATTTGGAACTATCATATGATCACCATCCCAATTCAAAAGTTCATGCTCCAATCTGTTCAAATGATACTTAATATATCGCCTCATCACTTCAGTGACAAATGCAATATCACAAACCCGTTCAAAATGCTTTAATAGTTCCCTGTACATCATGTATTCAGAAGTCATACGTTGGTAACCTCCAAGAAAGAAACATTTCAAGTGCGGACGAACAACTTCTTTTCTCCACCTTCTCAATATATACCTCTCATTAACGTTTTTAATCCTCTTATGAGACAACACCTTAAGTATATTGTAACGACCCGACCGGTCGTTTTGGGTTCTAGCGCATCGTTCAGTAGTCTGAGGCCATGAATAGCTTCATTTTAGGTATTATGACTTGTACACATGGTTGGAATTGAATTCAGGGAAGTTCAGAGTTGATTTGGAAAGAGAATTCTCATTTCGGGAGCTTAAAGTTGAAAGAATTAACTAAGATTGGATATTTAAGTAAATGACCTCGAAATCGGGATCTGAAGGTTCTAGCAGGTCCGTATGATGATTTCGGACTTGGGCATATGCCTGGATCGGGTTTTGGATGACCCAGGAGCGTTTTGGCGCTTATTGTGGAAGTTAGCATTTTGGAAGAATTTCATAAGTTTGGGTTGAAGTGCATTTCAGTGTTATCGATGTCCGTTTGTAATTCCGAGTCTGGGAATAGCTTCGTATGGTGATTCTGGAGTTGGGAGCGTGATCGGAAGTGAATTCAGAGGTCCATAGGTCATTTTGAGGTCGTTTGGCTAAAGATAGAAATTTGAAGGTTTTTGGGAAGTTTGACCGAGAGTTGACTTTTTGATGTAGGGGTCAGAATCCGATTCCGAAAGTTGGAGTAGGTCCGTAATGTTGAATACGACTTGTGTGCAAAATTTGGGGTCAATCGAACGTAATTTGATAGGTTTAAACATTGAAAGTAGAAGTTTGAAATTCTAAAGTTCATAAAGCTTGGATTGGAGGTCGATTCGAGATTTTAGCATTGTTTGATATGATTTGAGGCATCGAGCAAGTCCATATGTGTTTTGGGACTGGTTTCTATGATTGATTGGGGTCTCGGGGGCCTCGGGTGGATTCTGGGTGGTTAACGGATCGAAAATGGGATTTTTGAGAATAGCTGAAGGTTGCTGCTTTTGTCATAACCGCACCTGCGGTTGGTGGACCGCAGGTGCGATACCGCAGAAGCGGTCCTAGCATCCCAAAAGCGGCCCAAGCAAGCCAGGCTAGGAACCGCAGAAGCAGCTCCTAAGCCGCAGATGCGACTCCGCAAATGCGGTCTCCAGACCACAGAAACGGTCCCAACCTTCTCTCCCCATTTTGCAAATGCGGTCATCTTCTCGCAGATGCGGGACCGCAGATGCGATCCCCTGACCGGAGATGCGGTCCCCTGAACGCAGATGTGGAAATCGCTGAGGCAGTGAGGTTCATTTAATATGGGTTCTTAGGCATTTTTTATCACTTATACACTCTTCCATTAGAGATTTTGGGAGCTTTGGAGAGAAGACTTCCACTTAGTATTGTGAGGTAAGTTACCCCACCCATCCTTAGTTTAATACTTGCATATTAGGTAGATTAAACACTAGAAATTAGGTAAAAATCAAGGGGGTTAGAGCAAAATCTAGAGTTTTAATAAAAGTTAGATTTAACTACGAAAATGGTTATGGAATTGATTAGAAATCATATATTCTTGATCCTTTGATTA